TGAAATAATGCCATTTGCAGCAATAGCGGTGGACCTAGAGATTACAATATTAAGTAAGTCAGAAAGAGAAAGCCAAATATCATATGATATCACTAATATCTGGAATCTAAAATATGACACAGGACTTCCCTGGTGGCTCAGTGGTGAAATATCCACCTGTCAATGCCAGAGACAAGAGTTCGATTCCTGGTCCAGGAAGATCCCACAAGCTAAGGAGGAACTGAGCCCACATGCCAAAACTATTGAACCTGTGCTCCAGAGCCCAGGAGGCAGAAGTACTGAGCCCACATACCACAATATGGAAGCCCACGAACCCTGGAGCCCATGCTTTGCAACAAGAGAAGCCACCACAGTGAGAAACCTGCACACAGCAGCTAGGGTACCGTCTACTCTCCACAGCTAGAGAAAATGAAGACAGCTGTCTGCATGCAGCAGTAAAGACACAGCACAGCCCAAAATAAATAAATAAGTAAATTATATATACATGTACACACACACTTATCTATGAAACAGAAACAGACTCACATAGAGAACAGACCTGTGATTGCTGAGGGCAGAAGGTGTGGGGCGGAATGGATTGGGAGTTTGAGATCAGCAGATGTGAACTATTACAATAGTGAATGGATAAACAGCAAGGTCCTACTGTATAACACAGGGAACTATATTCAATATCCTGTGATAAACCACAGTGGAAAAGAAAATGGAAAAAAAGGTATATGTATATATACATATATAAGTGAATCACTTTACTGTATAGCAGAAATACAACATTGTAAATCAACTATGTGCTTAGTCACTAAGCCATTGCTCACTCTTTGCGACTCCATGACTATAACCCGCCAGGCTTCTCTGTCCATGGAATTTTCCAGGAAAGAATACTGGAGTGGTTGCCACTTCCTTCTCCAGGGGATCTTCCCCACCCAGGGATCAAACTCACATCTCCTACAGCTCCTGCATTGTAGGCAGAATCTTTACCACCAGTGCCACCTACTTCAATAAAATAATTTTTTTTTAATAGACATAGAGTGCTCATGAAAAACAAGCCCAATTCTAAATTATTAAATTACTACCATCACAAAGTGAAAACCTGATATTTTGGTGCCCAACCAAAAACAATAAAAATTTCCAATATTTTAAATAATAATAATTATAGTAATAAGTATTTTAAAGCTAAATTTTTCTAGACTACTTCACAAATAAATTAGTCAACACTATACCAGAAATGTTACATATGTGTGTGTACACTTATATTTTAAATATATGTGTTTAAAACTTTATATGTAAATACATATTTAAAATTACATTGCAATATTTCTTCTTGGGGTTCTAGTAATTTCATCTGAGAAAGTGTCTCCATTGAAAGTTCAATTTTGTTCTTACACACTCTGCTCACTCACTCACTTCTTTACTCATCTTCAAGATGGAGAGCAGAAGCCACAAAAGAACCCCAATTCTATTGACTCTGAGTGGAGAGAGAGGGAGGCCACACTCCAGCATATACCCCCCTGAGTGGAGAATACTGTGAAAGCCTGAATGCTATGTCTTGAGCATTAAGCCAAGAGCACAGTGCCTTAAACAAGCAGATCAAACTGTCATATGAAAACCACTCTTCTGCCACTTGCAAAAACAAAGCTGGTGTAGGCTCTTGGGCACGAGTCTTCCTGTCCTGCTGTGCGATGGCTTAGCAAAGCTATTCTGCCAGCATCACTTAAGCTGCCAGCAGTTGGAAGAGAAATGGGATGGAGAGAGTGTTTTCTTCTGTCTTGGCCTTACTGGGATACTGTTAATACCTTTCTGGGAGCAAAGTAGAGGATTAAATACCTTCACTAAAATTATTTGGCCCAGAATTTAAAGCAACATATCCTTCACCAAGATATTCAGAGAGACCACCAGAAAGGCTACTTGGATGTTAGGAAGTGTTATGGGCTGAACCAGGTCCCCTACAAAATTCATATGCTAATCCTAACCCCAGGCTGTAGATGGTGATTGTATTTGCATATAGGGTCTTTAAAAAGGTAATTAAGTTAAAATGAGGTCTTTAAATGGGAGTTAATCCAACTTAAAGCCTTTGACTGTGTAGATCACAACAAACTGTGGAAAGCTCTTAAAGAGATGGGAATACCAGACCATCATACCTATCTCCTGAGAAATCTGTTTGCTGGTCAAAAAGCAACAGTTAGAACTGGACTGGTTCAAAATTGGGAAAGGAATATGACAGGCCTGTCTGTTGTCTCCTGTTTGTTTAACATCATGAGAAATGCCCATCTGGATGAGTTATAAGCTGGAATCAAGATAGGTGGGAGAAACATCAACAACCTCAAATATGCAGATGATACCACTCTAATGGCAGAAAGTGAAGAGGAACTAAAAAGCCTCTTGATGAAAGAGGAGAGTGAAAAGGCTGGCTTAAACCTCAACATTCAAAAAACTAAGATCGTGGCATCCAGTCCCATCACTTGATGGCAAATAGACAGGGAAACAGTGGAAACAGTGACAGACTTCATTTTCTTGGACTCTTAAATCATTGCAGAAGGTGACTGTAGCCATGAAATTAAAAGATGCTAGCTCCTTGGAAGAAAAGCTATGATAAACCTAGACAGCATATTGAAAAGCAGAAACATCACTTTGCCAACAAAGGTCCATATAGTCAAAGCTATGATTTTTCCAGTAGTCATGTACAGATGTGAGAGTTGGTTCATAAAGAAGGCTAAATGCCAAAAACTGATGCCTTCAAACTGTGGTGCTGGGGAAGACTCCTGAGAGTTCCTTGGACAGCAAGGAGATCAAACCAGTCAACCTTAAAGGAAATCAAGCCTGAATACTCATTGGAAGGGCTAGTCCTGAGGCTGAAGTTCCAGTATTTTGGACATCTGATACAAACAGCCAACTCTTTGGAAAAATCCCTGATGCTGGGAAAGATGGAGGGCAGAAGAAGAGAGTGTCAGAGTATGAGATGGCTGGATGGCATCACTACACAATTGATATGAACTTGGGCAAACTCCAGGAAGTGGTGAGGGACAGGGAGGCCTGGTGTGCTGCAGCCCATGGGGTCAGACATGACTGGGTGACTGAGCAACAATAATCCATATGACCAGTGTTCTTTTAAGAGGAGATTAGAATACAGACACACACAGAGGGAAAAACATGTGAAAACACAGGAGAAAGTACCTGGCCATCTACTAGCCAAAGAGAGAGGTCTAAAAAGAAATAAATACCTGGATCTCAGACTTTTAGCCACTGGAACTATGATAAAATTAATTTATGTTGTTTCAGCCACCCAGTCTGTTAAACTTTGTTACAGTGGCCCTAGCGAACTCATGTAGGAACTAGGAGCCTACAAAAGGCAGTGAAGGCAGATCAAGACCTTAGAACTGAGGTCTAGAACAGCTTCCTTCTTCGGTACCACACTCCACATGGATCCAGGTACAACCACTAACATTCTTGGTCTGAACAGGCCATCCCAGAATTAGCTAAACCAATAAAAATATTCCCACATATTCCATGTTCCAGCAATGAACAACAAAGCATGAAGCTGGAGAAAATATTCCCCTACCCAATATAAAGGATATTTATTTTTGTTGGAAGACCAGAACCTGGTACCTAAACAGCTTGAGTTCTTAATCCACATCTCTGAATTCCAGACCTGCTGCCTGCATTGCCCTTTGTAAGCCTTCCATCATAGCATCCAGGCCTCAGCATCCAGACCTGCTGCACCCTCAGAATCCACTGCTTTATAATCCATGGCTACCTCCATCTAAGAGCTGGCTCCGGATTTGGCATCACAATCATATTCTTTGTTCCCCCTTCCAGTTCATCAAACCTGGAAAGGACAGTGTTGTGGACAAGTTCTTTGCTTCAGCCATTCAGAAATTTGCCCCACAACAAATTTAAGTTGTAAGTTAGAAAACTGATCATAGGGGCCATTTGGAGTCACTGAGGAATGAACCTGGATATCAACAAGTTAAATTCAGTCTCTCCATTTAAAATCAACTCCTTACTGAGTTTAATATTAGCCTAAAACTTGTTTAACAATACACCATGCCAGTAATAATAAAGTTGCTGTTTGTTAAATGATTTTCTTTGTTGGAAACTTCAAATCTATTATTTTTCCTTATTGGTTGTTGACACTCTGAGTTGTCAGGGGAAAAGCTATTCCTATAAGTATATATAGATTTTTATAATATTCTTTTATGCTATTTTCAGAAAAATGAGGTAACTACAGACAGTTCCACTTTTTATTCAATTGTCAAGGCTTGTTAGAAGGAAAAGTTGTAGGAAAGGAATAAATTCCTTTTTAAAACTTCACATAACTTCCCTTTTGGTCTGTTTCAAATAGTAATGGACCTTGTTAAAACAGAAAGCTCGGAGTGATGACAAGCTTTATCAAGAATGGTACCATACATGAACAAAGAAAATTTAAAGAGATTCTTAAATAGCTGAATTCATCTCAAATGGCTCGACCATTGTGATCTGCAGGGAAGGAAAGCTTTGCTAGGAGGGAATTGAGAAAGGTTTTTTTTTTTTATATCTCCAAACGACTTTGCCAGATATTGGAAGAAGAAAAACATAGTTTGCCTAGCTTGTCAGGTTATTTATAGATAATACTTAAATCTAGATCTTTTAATTACTTTTTTAAAGAACAAATTGCTTATCAGTGTCTGTTCGTAAGATAATTATATTAGATTTAAGAATTTGATGTTTCAGACCAAGTTAAAAATGACACCTCAGAAAACAGAATTTTTATTTTTACCTTAAAGCAAGCTCAGTTTAGAGGTGTCTGTTTACAAACTTTCTCCATTTAATTGGTTTTCCTAATATGAAATAGTATTTCCAGAACTAATTAAAAGTTCATTCTAATGAATATTCAAGACCAAAATGTTATCTCTGCAGTACAGTATATAGATTTTTAAATCATCCATAAAGGTAATTATATTTTTTTTACATTCTTAAAAAGTCATATATTGTTATTGATGCCAAATGGGTTATTTGTTTCCTCTTAGGCCATGATTGAAGAAGCGATCACCAGAGCGGAATCTTTCTCAGTTATGTACACACCATTTGCAACAAAAATCAGAGCTGATAAAACAGAAAAAGTAAAAGAAGTTTTCACAAAAATTCATCCTGCATACATGGAGTATATCTACACAGGTAAGAATCAGCATCTTCAAAGTATCAGCTGACGCTTTATTTCCATAAAAAACAGATACAGGGATGTTTCTGACTTTTGTTATTTTGTTCTAAGGATTTTTTTTTTTATTAATCTGTTGAGTTGAAATAGAAAGTTATTTCCAGGTTTTATGTAGAGCTAGCCTTATAGGTCTAGTGCAATATCCCTTGTGTCATCGGTCATGTTTCTTTTTTTTAAGAGGAGGGGTAACACTTAGAAACGCTAAGATTATAAAAAAAATAAATAAATGAAGGAGTAACTTGTGTAAGATGGCACCTTTTTTCATATCCTTCATCAGTAGATTAAGTGATTCTAGTACTTTCCTGAAGATGAAATTTTTCTCCAGTCCCTTCTATCTTCCTTGCTCCATCTATCTCACACCTCAAATGCCCCCTTTTTTCCTCTTTAATGTTCTCCAGCCCCTGGTGCCCAAAGGAAATCTGGATCATCAAGTGCGTACACAGAACACAACACTGGTGGTGTTCTTCTTTGCTGCTTTTGTCTCTGGAAGCCAATTGCTTTTATTCATTCAATACTTTCTACTATGCTCCAAATGTTATTCTAAATTAAGAATTTTCTTGTGTTAAATTAAGAACCAACCCCTAATGGAGATAGAAATATCTAGTTATCTGAGATACTAAGAGTTGTCAAAAGCTTTTGTTATTGCCGTTTTACTGTCTTTAAATCATTGACTTAAATCAAAGACCATTTTGTTACTTCCAAAATTAAAAGCCCATCAACAATGACTACCATGTTAAGCATAATCTCTAAGTACATTCACCTAATATTGTATCTTCCTGTTAAGCCCCCTGCACTCCTTTTGTTAGGATTTTGGAGCCAAATCGCTGATTTATATGATTAATAATATTCTCCATTAGTGATCACTTTTAAGGTGTCGGCTACTCAACATACATTATCTCTTGTTACTCTCATAACTTAAGTGTCTAAGATGATTCTTATGTAGAAATGAGAAAATGGTAACCAGAAGAAACAAATAGTTTTTCCAAAGATATGCAGAAAACCACCACATCAGTGGCAGCGAGCCTTGGATTTGAATCCATGTCGTTGCATTGAGGTACCTTATTTCCATCTGATAGAAGCCAAGATGGGAGGAAAGCATTAACTTTAGGTCCTATGGAATCTGTTTCTTCCAAAATGCCTCAAGCTCTTCAGAAAAAAAAGATATTTTAAAGATATAACAAGTAAAACCTTAAGGAACAATGAAAATTTGAAGGCATAGAAAGAGAAGAAATCACATGCTATAATGACTACTGATGCTAATTTACTTAATTTGAGCATTTTTAAGAAAGTAGATAAAAATATTTCAGAACTCACAATTTTTGCTAATTGTTATAAATCACATCATTTTGTTATGGACATCTTCAGAGGGCTTTGGGGAGGAAAAGAGTGAAATCAAGAGCAAGCAATTGACAAGTTATATCAATCTCGTATCATGGAAACTTGATAAGATTCAGTTATTTCCACATCTGCTCTCAGATCCATTGATAATAAAGAAAGATTCATTGAGGAGGTCACCGATTTGCCAATTTCTCTACTGGTAGAATAAATTTAGTTATATTTAACCTACTTCACAGAGAAGTTAGGAAGATTAATTAATACTTAGGAAACACTGTTGCCACTGAGGATTTAAAAACAATAATAATATTAATGAGCCAGATTCATGTCTCATGTAACTCCATCAAACTTGTTATCAAGATGAATTATGATTTGTTGGCAAGGCGATTCATGCTAAAGAATCTTATACTATGGAAGAGAAGATAATTATAAGTTACTGATGATTGTTTCTATTATTTTATAATTACTAATTGCCAGATTGTGACAGTGCTGTATGAGAACAGAGAGAAAAGATGCAGCCTCTAAAGGAGAAGGGGAGGCAGAGAAGGCGATCTTGAATTTTAAATTTCATAAGGACTGGTTGGGTTCTTTGCTCTGTATGATGGGTACTTTGGGTTAACAGACTGTTACATTGATGACATGCATCATTTGCCTCTGTTGCACTGATTAAAGGGTGTCTCCAAAGCTCTTGCTGGAATGATGGTAAAACCACTATTACTAACCTTATGTGCAAGTCTTAGTGGCATCTCTTTTTTTCCCCTCAAGTAATTCCAAGGTGAGGAAGAGAGGAGGTCACATGTGGTCTTTAGCTTCTGTATGTTTCTCACAAGAGGTCCCGAGTGATGATGTGGGCAGGTATCAGTAGCCAAAGGCAGTAGCTAGACAGTGGGTCATACAAAGAAAGATGGGGCCTAGAAGAATAGTGTTTTGTTGTGGCAAGCATGCTCAGTCACAACTGACTCTTTGCAATGCTATGGACTGTACCCTACCAGGCTCCTCTCTCCATGGAATTTTCCAGAATAGTCAAGTGGACTGTCATTTCCTCCTCCTCTGAAGATCTTGCCAACCCAGGGGTTGAACCCTCACCTCCTGTGCCTCCTGCATTGGCATGTGGATTCTTTACCACTGATCCACCGGGGAAGCCCCAGGATTCTCCTTTCATCTGCTTTGATAGAACTTAAGAAGCTTCTATGTTGCCAAAAATGTATTCAGTTACTTATTTCAACAAATAGTCATGCAGTGTAACTGGACAATTACACAGCAAATATGTACAAACATTAGGCTTTTTTTTAACCTACATATGTTTGCCTTTGATCTGCCCAGAGCCAAAAATGTATTCTCTCCCACCCCATGGGACACAATCCCATCCAATCATTTCTAAAATTTAGCTTCTCTCCAGTAATTATCTAACTCTCCATTTTTTCCCCCTTTCCGCGGGACTTTCTTCTCCTCCTAGCTTGTGCTTGCTTGAGCATGTGCTCAGTCTAACCCACTGTGACCCCCTGGACTGTAGCCCGCCAGGCTCCTCTGTCCACGAGATTCGTCAGGCTAAAATACTGGAACGCATTGCCGTGCCCTCCTTCAGAGGATCTTCCCAACCCGGGGATCTAACCTGTGTCTGCTGTATTGCAGGTGGATTCTGTACCTGCTGAACCATCAGGAAGTCCAGAAGCCTGAGGGCATGTGAGCAAAGAGTCCTCTTCCACAGTCTGGCGCAGGCTGGCACAGCTGCTGATTACGTGGCTAGTGCGACTTGAGACAGCCCTGTTGGTCTGAGGAGGACCTGATGGGCTCACTTATGTGACACATCAGGTCATCCAAGGGCACCTATATGAGTCCCCATAGTGCTTCCTGGTGCAGATTCTTCTTATATGTACACCAGCCACCCTATCACACACATTGGCCCAGACAAGAGCTACTTTCTAAGATCCCCTCTCCCTGCCAGAATGCTAATTCTAGATCCTACACTAGAAATTTCCTCTTCTCCCCTGGAGACTGGAAGTCACTTGAGTCCTCTCTCCAACTTGCTGTGCTACTCTGCCATTTCTCTTATCCTTTTTTCCATGCTCCAGAATCCCAAGATCCTCAGCACAAGAAGAAAATCTACAATGGAGATGAGTGGTATATTGAGCTACTTATTTATTCATCAAACATTTACTAACTACATATATTCCAGACACTATATTAGGTAATGCTACAATATACCTGACTCTAGTCATTTATACTTCAGGGTGAAAGTTGGACTGTACTTTTCTTCTCTTCTAAAGAATATTTTAATTAAAACCTAAGCTCAAATTGTGGGATGGAAGGCTGATTCTAATTAAAAGAATGGTGGAGGAGAAAACAGATGAAAGAGCAGTTTGGGAATAGAAGTCTTTGCCACTTTCAGTGGCAAAGACTAGCTCGTTGTTTACCAAACTATTTTCTTTTCCCCCTATATGCATAACTAGAAGACATTTCCAGCTTTCTTTACAGTTCAGTGAGGTTGGAGACTCAATAACAGACAGTGTTTGAATGTGGATAGAAATAATGTATGCCACTCACAGGCCTGACCCATAAACTTCTGCCATATAGAATTCTCTTCCCCTTGCCACTGACTGAATGGGTGGAACTCCAGAACTAAAGAAGCTACAAGGCAAAAGAGACCATATGGAAGGCAACCCACTGAATACCCACACGAATAAAAAAAAAATTATCTTGTCTCGGATCACCGAGCTTTGGAGGTTCTTTGTTAAACCAGGTGACTTAACTCTAACAGACTACCTTACATCATAAGAAGTAGGTGGTTTCCTACTCCATCTACAGTGTACACAATAAATTCATGTGAACTCAATGGAGAAAGGATAAACATCCCTCCCTGTTCAGTCAAACTCATCCTCAGAAACACTCAGCTTGTGTACATTCCCTTCCACCTCCCACTCACTCATCATTCCTCGAACAACTATAGGTGGATGTTCTCGTACATATGTGTTTGTACCCACTCAAAGAAAGGGAACATTTCAGGAGAGACACAGATGCCCCACAGGAGATAGAACACAATTACGCAGTTTGCATTGTAGCAGGAAAAACTGGGACCACAAGTAAGAGTTTTAGAAGTCATCTAAATCAACAGTCAACAGATGAAGGTCATAAAATCTGTACCTTGAAGATCTTGGATGAAAAGTCTACCTATCAAAGTTCTACAGGAGAAGTAGGTATTATCATTAAAACTTGGAGACTAATACATTTAGCTCTCCCAGCAGAGGCTGGCAGACAAACCTCCAACTCAGAAACTCTGCCCAACTCCAGGTCACCTTCATTAAGCATACACAGTATTGAGTTCATTACTCTTCGACCATGTGACAATGCTGTGAGCCCAGTAATAGCTGGCAGAGGTGATGGTGATAAGCAAGAAGAGCATTCATGATAGAGATCCCCCAGGCAGTGTGTTCTTTCTAGCTAACCCCTAATTCACAGTCACCCTTATCAGGGATTTTTCACATGAAAAATAAATTGCAAAGGGAAAAAAAAAAAAAACTGTAAAAAAAAAAACTCATTTTGAAATTCATAGAGGTCTAAATAGTTTTAATTTCTTATTAAATAGGCCAACTAAATTAGTGATTTATTATGAGAAAAACTCACTTCA